TCTTCAGAGATTGGGAAGTGGGGAAGAGAGAGGTCAATCAGGTGGTAGTGCCTAGAAAACCCAGAAGTTCCTGGTTACAGAGTATTGTTGAAGTTATAACCAATAGCTGGTACTGGGAAGGAATCTTCCCCCTAAGCTTTTGTCTTCTTCCATAATATGGATTGTGAGGCTTTTCCAAGAATCTTCTGAGCAGATACCAGCCAAAGATTTCAGTAGATGGCTGCAATAGCTATAATTAGACAATCTGAATTTATAAGAGCGCTTGTACAGCATGCAGTTCTCCCAAAAAGTCATTAGGGATGGGTGCTACCACATAGCCTGTTATCCCTGTCCGAACACCAGTCTGCTGCGACAGGAACACCCACTAGATCTTACATGTTTCTAAAATCAACTGAGTCTGGTCACTGTTCCTAGCTCTGAAGCCTGTAGGATGCTTGTTTGAGCCAAGCTGTTCTTAAGGATGTGGGACTCACTAGTTTTACCACTCCAAACCCTGAAATTAGTATGCAAGCAGCTACATGTCTAAGGCAATTTGGTCATATATAGCCTGGAGTCAAACCAGAATCCACAGCACCACAGCATTTAACATGGCGGGATGGTTAAAAGCAGGCTTAGTGAAAGAATTTAATCAATTACCTTTAAAAAGGTAAAGAGCACGGGCTAAATATCAATATACAACAAAAGCCACAAGGCTTCATCCCTTCTGCAATCATGAGGTCTTCTCATAAGTTAGGCTACTGGAGTCCCTCCTGTCTTTTCCTTCTAACCAATGGCAACTAACTGTCATCCCCACCCTTTTCCCAACTGTTCACAGGAACCCTTACTTAAAACCATTTTTGATGTGCTTAGCAAACATGCACTTTTCTGGGTCAGTCACCTCTCTAAAATGGATTACAACAGTGGTGTCTGATTGTTTTGGCCTGGGGGGCCAGGTAAATGGTCCTCAATCCATCTATAGGCTGGATCCTGACCCTGGGCTCAATCTGGTGCACGGCGCTGACCAAGCCAGGGCCAATGCAGCCATGTGGGAAGGGAATGTTCAGAGCCTGATCCTGCATGGCTGCACTGGGTCCTGGATGGATTGCAGCCCAAACTAGGACCCTGCGGTTTCACTGGGCCCTCACTGGACTGTTTCCATGAGGCTGGATCAGCCGATGCTTGATCCAGGCATGCAGGAACTGGCATAATCTCTCTGAAGGGCAGACCTGAGGGGGGCCAATCTAGCCCTTCAGGGCTTAGAAATTTGACAGCTGGGGGAACAGTGGCAATGTGAATTGGCACCCCTTCCCTTCTAAAGACCCACAGACTAAGCTTATGGGGCTCCACAGGGCTGGGGGTTGAGCACTCCTGGATTACAATAACCTCCTTTGGGCAAGGTTAGACATGTATTCAGTACCCAAAACACAAACACTTAAACCCAAGAGGTCCTATTTGGCTTAGGCCAGTGGGGGACCACCTTTTTGGAAAGCATGCTCCAGGAAGTTAGCCCCACACCCTCCAAGTGCCTATCTGATTCCCTTCTCCTGCCCAGTCTTCTGCTCTGCTTTCTGCTTCTTGCTTCATTTGCTATGGTGTTGCTTGTCCCTGATCTGCTGCATGCCACATACAGAAGCTACTTGTGCCACTTGTGGCATGCATGGTGCAGTTCAGCCACCCTTGACCTAGACATATCCCAAGTCTGTCAAACCTTGCATATCAACTGGATCTACTGATCAAGTTAACACTTGGACAACCAAGTAACCAAATTATAGCATTTCTTCCTTAGAAAGAATTAAAAAAAAATATGCTGGCTAAACTCCTAAATGTTTTACAATTGTGTGAGGACAGAAGCCACTGATTCTTCTAAGGAGGGAATGAGACTAGAGCAGAGGAAGACAAAGTTCACTTTTGGGTTGACAACTGGGTTCAAAGAATTCTTCCTTCCTCTTGAACTTAATACACTTACAATACTTGTTGCATCCTACTACAATCAAATCAACTAATGCTGTGCTTCAGAGCTTCTACTCATTGCTTGAAGAAGTGGCTAGAAAGTATTTTCTTATCAGAAGTAGAAACTGACCACAGCTAGAATTGGGAAAGTTGGGTGGAGTGAACTGATGCCTCTAGTGGTACTGGAATTTAGGTCAAGAAGGAATTTCCCCTCAAGCCATGCTGGCAAGACAACTATGCCTTACACCTGCTTTCTTTTTGTTGCACTGATCTGAGGTCCAAGATTTTGTATTTTAAAGATCCTACAACCCTCCCCTCCCCCAAGAGCATTTCAGGTGTGCAACCTTACTGCCATGGCAAGAGTAATAACAGCACAAGGGCACATAACAGGTTCTCCAGCCAGGACTGGGAAAACAGATCTGGCCATCACTCCTTCTCCTGGCTAAATATTTGGTTATTCTATTACTTAACCAGGATGTAAAAAAACTACTGTTTGCTTGTTAAATACTATTGCTGTTTTTTTATATTTGAAGACAGACTCTGTTCTGCCTAGTCTATTATTGATTGCTTAGGCCAAGCTTGTTTGGTTGTGTACTACACTAATGATCATCTGAGAAAGAGGGAACAGGTTCTTCTCTTCCATGTCAGTTGAATCAGATGTCACATTTGCAAGGAGTGATCAAGTTCTTGTTTGCTCTTTCAACTATCTCTCTGCAGTCAAAGGAACAAAAAAAAAAAAAAAAAAAAAAAAAA